AGTATTTTTGTAATTGGCTCATATGTTAGCTACCTGTGGTGAAATTTTATTAAATAAAATTAAAAACTGACGACTTGTACTAATATCTTTCTCTCCTAAGCCACATATTCTTATAAACACGATTCCTGCCAATCTCAAGAAGTTCGATTTTCTTTTCACTTTTGACACAAATGTTAGCCACTTGTCGTTACATTTTATGAAATAATATAAAAATCTAACGATTTGTTGCACTTCTTCCAACATCCTGATCTTGATATGAGAATAAGATACATTACCGAACAGACGTTAAAATTCGAAGAAAACGGTCGTGGTGCTACCATCTGACAATATTCAAGAGGAATTAGATTTGATGCCGCTAACGCGTGTTTACGTGTTGAATAATATCTCGCAACTTCAATGACAGTTCTCGTTATTGCGGAATTTGTTCTAAACGTTTTAGAAATGTACTTAATGTAATTGAAAGTAGTGATATAGAAATCATTAAAATGTAGTTTGAAAATGTTGTATTCCCTTGTTTCCCAGCGTCATTATTTATCATTCACATATTTAATTAATACACGTGAAGTGAACGTCTCATTTAATTATCGTAATAATGGAGCATGACCATGAGGACCAAGATATTGATAATGATAATGAAACCGTCAACGACATTGTCGACGAAAATTTATCCGAGAAGGTTAGACTATTTAATCTTTTATTTTAAACACTGTCTCATGCATGAACAAAAATATTTGCTTTACAAAAAATAAAACATTATTAGGTCTTGTCTGTAAGAAGTGAAGATAGTATTTTTTGTGAGGCATCGAAGGAAATTGAAGAGCTTGTGAAGGCAAATGCCCAAAGTAAAAGTAATCCAAATAAACAAAGTACTGGTACACTAAATGATGCCAACGACTGTTCAAGTCAGCAAGAAATAGAGAAACAGGTTTCAACTGGAGAGATTACTCCATTCCAAGCAATTGAACAAAAGACTGATTCATTAAGAACCACAGGGTATATATTGCTGATAAAGTTATTATGAAAAAGTAATAAAAACTGATTTAAATATCTATTTTTTCAGGACATTTAATAAAACTTCTCATTTACTCGATCTAGAAAAATATCTTAAGCAGCAAGCTGAACTAGCTAAACAAAGGAAGCAATTAAAAGACTCCTCTAAGGCAGCTAAACATCATAATGATCATACAACTTCAATTAAGAAGGCAAAATTGCCTAAAGAATATAAACCAATAGAGAAAACAAAACCTAAAGCTAGTAAAAGAAAAACAGTCTTAGGACATGAAGCGCTAAAAAATAAAGATGAAACAGGAGATGCAAAACTTGATGAAGTTGATAATTTGAATGCTCAGACAAGACATACGAGAAGTACATTAAATGTTTGCGATAGCGCCAAAGACAATACTAAAGGACTGTTAATCGAAACTATTAAGTCTGCAAATGCAGGAAGTGACTCGGGGAGTGAATACGCACCAAGTGATGAAGAAAATGATTCTGGTTAGTTTTGCCATCAAAATTGAATATATATGAGCTCTACTTATTTAAGAATAAAACGCTTTTTATGTTATAGAAGAAGAAGGACCAGCAGCTAAAAAAAGAAAATATTCTACAAAATTCGTTCATACAAATCGAGGTAGATATTATCATTGTAACATATTAATAACGAATCATATTTATTAATACGGTTTTCAGTTTTGGATGATGGAGATGAAGCAATGTATAGACAAAGAGTGGAAGAACATGGTTTTCCTAAGGACGAATTATACCATAAAATAGATAATTTATTTAAAGTTCCACAGTCTATATGGAAAAGGCTATATAAGTACGAATGAAACTATATTGCATGATTTATTACTGGTTTTCGACGAAGCTAATTTTAAAATCTTAAAAAGGTACCAAAAAGTCTCGGTACAATGGTTATGGGAGCTCCATTCTCGCAGCTTAGGTGGATTGCTCGGGGATGAAATGGGATTAGGAAAAACCGTACAAGTGATTGCCTTTCTTGCTGGTTTAGATTCTAGCGAATTACTGTCCGACGGCGGAAGGTAAAAACCTTTCCTCCCGAAGGTTTATGATCTTCCCGTAGGTTTATGACTTCTTAATTGCAGATTCAGAGGATTAGGACCTACTATGATTGTTTGTCCAGCTACGCTTATGGAACAGTGGGTAAAGCATTTTCACGAATGGTGGCCTGTTCTAAGAGTGGTCGTTTTACATCAATCAGGAACTTATAACGGTACGAATAGAAATCACGTGTTGATCGATACTTTGTATTACCAACGAATCCTCTTTATAGGGGATTTAGAATATTTGATGCACTCTTTGAAATCCGGCGGCGTACTAGTTACATCTTATACAAGTATGCTCAAACATAAAGATTTACTCGTAGCCAGTCAATGGCACTACGTTATACTCGACGAGGGTCATAAAATAAGAAATCCACAAACAAAGGTATCTTCTAATTCTAATTTGCAAAGCAATTTTCTGATTTCGATCTATGCTAATTACAACTGCATTTGGTAGATTAGCAAAGCGGTAAAGGAATTTTCAACACCGCATCGATTGCTGTTAACGGGTAGCCCTATGCAAAATTCATTAAAAGAGTTATGGTCCCTATTTGATTTCATTCTACCCGGGAAATTAGGCACTCTACCCGCGTTCCTAGAACATTGCGCGGGCCCTATAACTCGAGGCGGATACGCAAATGCTACTCCTTTGCAAGAAGCCACTGCGCTTCAGGTTGCTACGATGCTTAGAGACGCTATCACACCGTACATGCTTAGGAGAACAAAAAACGATGTCCAACATCACGTCAGTTTACCAGAAAAGAACGAGCAGGTTCGTAACGCGTCACGTTACATTGCATAATCATTTATAATCTCCTCCATTTATTTATATTTCGTAGGTGTTGTTCTGCAGTCTAACAGAAGAACAAAAGGAACTGTATAAAAGATATTTATGTTCCGGGGAAGTTAGTTATATACTGCAAGAGAGAAATCCTATGGAGAGTGGAAGATACAGAGCTCGTCTTTTAATCGCGTTATCGGCACTCAGAAAAATATGCAATCATCCCGATTTGTTTCTCTATACGAATCCAGTTGATTCCGATGAGGATATCGACGTATCGGAAGAAACGTTAGAAAAATTTGGCTTTTGGAAACGTTCCGGAAAGATGACAGTAGTTCGATCGCTTCTGAAAATTTGGAAGAAACAAGGGCATAAAGTCTTACTCTTTACCCAGGGAAGACAAATGATGCACGTCCTGGAATCGCTTCTACAAAGCGAGGAATATACTTATTTGAGAATGGATGGAACTACGCCGATGTCTCAACGACAAGAAACTATCCGGTTGTTCAACACGAGTCCATCATATTTCGTTTTTCTACTCACTACTCGAGTCGGTGGATTGGGAGTAAATTTAACCGGAGCGAATCGGGTGATTATTTACGATCCAGATTGGAATCCAGCAACTGACGCTCAAGCGAGAGAACGTGCGTGGAGAATTGGGCAAAATAAAAGAGTTACTATTTATCGACTTATTACTGCAGGAACTATCGAAGAAAAGGTACAGTTGATAAAATCTTAGTGTTTCTTCAAACAAATACAAATTGTGATTCCTGTAAAATAATTTCTTGTAGATGTACCATAGACAAGTATTTAAATTGCTTCTTTCAAACAAAGTTTTGGAAGATCCGAATCAGCGCAGACTCTTTAAAACAAATGATCTAGTTGAACTTTTTAATTTAAATGAGCCCATTGACGGACATTCCAGCGAGTCAGATCGACTATTTCGGGATTCTAAATTAATCCCATCAACAACCAGATTTTCATCGAATAAAATTGAGAAAATGCGGAAGTTAGCTGCTAGTCTTAGCAGAAGTATAAGTCAAAATTCTGTTACACAAGCAGCCGACGTTTCAGAGAATTATTCTACAGACAATAATAACGACAAGTTGGGCATAGAAAAGACTAATGAGATATCTGAAGATTTGGTAAAGCAAACGGAAAACGATCCTTCTAAAAAGGATGAGACTGCACCTCTTACTGAGCAAAGCGTCGCGATTGCAGACAAATTTTCTGCAATCGAGCCTTCGGATAAAAGTAATGACACGTGCATCGAGAAAAATACTGAAATAATTTCAAGCGACGCAAAAAAAAATAAAGCACAGCATAAACACAAACGAAATAGAAAGAGTTCAAAATCAGAGAAGCATACTGTTTCAGCTATTTTCGAGGGTGAACGTATCTCACATTTAATTGGTCGACGTCTGGGGAGCTCTCAATCTAAAGAAGCTAAATGTGTTGAAGATGATCAATATGTTTTAGAAAAATTGTTCGCTAAAGCGAGTAATTATTTTTCTGCCATACATAACTAATTATTATGCAGGATTTGACACTGGTGCACGCTGAAATTAAATATTTTTTAGGCGTGACTTCCGCTTTTCAACACGACTCAGTATTATCAAATTCGGGGTATAATTCGGATGATAAGAATCCGATGCAGCGCTTAGCGCGTGAAACTGCGCAAGAGAATATGGATAATATACGCAAGTCTCGCAAATGGTGTTGGAAACCTACGTGGGATCCTGAGTAAACCGATTAATTTCTTTGCATATGGTGAGTTGCAGATAATTAACATTTCAATTTAATTGCGCCTATATTTTATTTATTGGTTTCCAGGTTTACGTTAATTAAATAACTCGAGATATCCCTGACGAAAAAGATCTCCAATTTGTACAATTGTACAGTACGTACATTATTAAACACATTGTTAAAAACAACTGACTGTACGTTGAATATTCCAAAAACATTAAGAATATATCATTTTATATTCCATTTGTTTATTATTTTTTAATTCTGTGTAAATATTGTTTAGTTTCATAAAAGAGCATGTTCGAATCAGTATTTATTCAAATGTTAAAGTATTTTTAATATACAATATACAATATAAACGGGTTACATTACTTTAGGAACGAAATATTCTTTTTCAATATAAAATGGATAATATAAATGTGTTACATTCTTACAGGAACGGAACATTTTTGTTTTTGATCATTTTTAAAAATGCGATTTTCATGTGTCACCCATTTACACATATATCTCAGATACAATTAACGTAATGTAAACAAAACCCGTATTCTTTGTACATACCAAAGGCAATATTTTGGTACATATGAAATATAAAACTTAATGAAAGAAATAAAGTTGATATAATTTTATGAAAACGCTGTTTCGTCAAAGCAGTTTATATATGAATGTATAACTTTAGAAAAATGTGTTTTTAGCTTATAGAAATAATTATGAAAACTCGCTGCTGTCGTGTAATATTTACAATGTATACTCAACATATACCTTTTTATATTCAGTGTCTTAGAAATGTTTCAAGATTAGGACCGCGCCTACCTAAAGGATCAGAAGGAAACATAACATAATCTCCTACAAACGTTGGAGCCATCAATCGTTTCTCGATCGTATCCCGCCATTCCGGTTTTTCTGCATAAAGATCTCTATATTGATCTGAAGAAATTACAATACCCCCGCACAACGTCGCATATTCTAATATATACCTAAAATTAACGAGAATACCGTTTATTAAAATTAACGCTGTTTGAGAAGAAGCTTGTTACAGAAGAGTTAAATACAAGAACAATTTACCGATCATCGTAAGGTGTTATCCGTCTGTTAGTATTGCCAATTCGACGACTAGGTGTATAAACTACTATTCCTTCCGTGTACCATTTCTCAAGTAAAGGAGAAAATCTAGATTGAGGTAAAAATACTTTCACAGTGTGACCCCTCTGTTGGAAATACTCTACAACTAATTTTAATCCTTCCTCTGAGAACACTTTACCACTTTTGTGTCTGGAAAATATTATATTTATATTATTTATGTAACCATGTGTGTTGACCTGACTCATTGGATTTTGGCCCCAGATACGCACCGCACGGCGTATGGCGAGCAAAGGGTGTTTATGTATGTGTTAAACAAAAATCCAATGAATTAGGCGTACACAGTTAAATGCACTAAATGAGAAGTCAATATGATCGTACTGCATAGCTACGTTGTTGCCGTCAATAATTATGTCTCTTAATGTCCCACTTTTAAATGTTCTACATGTTCTAAACGGCACAGGATCAGGAGTCGGCGAGGCAGGCCTGTATGGTACAGAACCTGATCCACATGTGTAACTTGTGGATGCTGGAAACTGTCTTTGCATACATCGTCGATGTTGTTCTGTTGGAGGCATAATGTATGGAGGTAACGGATTGTTGCCAAATCTAAGAGGAGGAGGAGGAGGAGGAACAGCAGGTGGAGGAGGAGGAGGAGGAGGAGGAACAGCAGGAGGAGGAAGAGGAGGAAGAGGAGGAGCTGTACCAAATTTATGTGCAGGCTTCGGATAGGTACCAATTACAGCTCTACAAATTATAGCACCTGAACCTTCACAAATTACATCGTCATCGTGGTCAATATCAAACGATGTATCAAAGGTACCAAATTTGATTCCTGCACACGCAGGAACTCTACTGAACATTGCAGGTGTACTATATGGAGGAAATGTGCTAAATACTTGAGGCAAACTTGGCATTCTTCGTTTACTTCGTAATCTATTACGCCTCGTTGGTTTCTTCATTTTAATGTGTCCACTTATATTTTGAGCCTTGGGTAATTTTAGCCCAAAACTACTAAAAGACGGAAATCCACGTTTGTTATTTTCTTGTCTTTCCTCTATTTCTGGCACTAGATCTATTAATTCCTCTTTCAAGCAACTTAGATTTTTCATATCTGGTGTACGATCTATCATAAAAGATACATCCTCTTCTGGAATTACAGATCCATTTTGTAACTCACTATCAAGTTCTGGCGAAGTTTTTGTGTTTGACCATACAACGACAATTTCATCTGCGCCTTGATTAATACCATCTGAGCGTAGTAATATATAAATTTAAATGACAATAAAAAGTATTGCAATCGTTTTATATTAAATAGATTGCTTTACCTATTTTTTCATCATCTAAAACAATAGTTGTAATTCCCGAATTCTTTTTATTGCTGTTTCCTCCTTTTATCAGTGGATCTGTTTCATTTTTCTTTCGTCTTTTACTTGGATTATGTAAACATTCTGAATTTTGATTATTATTATCTATTGATAACTCCAAAGGTCGTTTTTTTGTCCTTCTCTCTGCTTTATTTCGAGTTTCCTTCCTAGTTGATTGATCTTCATTGTCACTTAGAACAATTACACTATCTTCTAAGGACTCATTTTCTATAGGTGGTAACATCCATCTCTGATTTTCAGAAGCTCGCCTAGCATTACGAATTAATTTCTTCTGTACTCGCATCTGCTCATATCTTTTAACACTGCAATGATAGAAAATTTTTATAAGCCTTCTTTATATTATTTAACATTTCTACTGTTTCAATACCTGGATTTAATATATTTTAAGGGGCTTTCATAGTAGGTTTTTTTGAATTTCTTTTTCTGTGTCTTTGACACTGCAGGTGCCTCTTTTCTCTGAGGCTTTGGAGTTAAGATTATGACAGAGTTATCTAAATCGTTCATTTTGAACTCAGGTTTCAATTGTTTTGTTCACATGTAACCCTGACACAGACATTAATAACACTTTAGAGCAAAGGGATAATGAACGAAGTTGAAAATCTTATGAATGTAATGTGTACTTACAATATTTATTGTATACAACATATGATTATAAACAGACATATAAGATCCTGCAAAAGGCTGTTGATTTATATGTCCACAACTTATTATACACTTTCTCACGAAACTTATTTTTATAAATCGAAAAATAATTACATTTTCCTATCATTAAATGCTGCGTAACTGCTGTGTCTTTGTCATAACCGCGAATGTTAAATACGATTATGCATATCTTCGTAGATTGCACAGGATAAGTCATTTAAACTTGAATGTTAAATATTTTTCTCCAACGATCTCTTTGCTATATTTCATTACACTGCGATTTACGAATCAGACACATATGTAAGTGTACCTCGCAATATCTACAAACGACGATTCAGAATCAATAATGAAGACAGGATCATACCGTATATAATTTTACACATTGCAACTGCAAACATATTACGCAAAACTCCAGGTTTTGACGACTACAATCCATTAGAAACTTGGAGAAGGATGAACTAACAAGACCTAACGACGGAACCAACTGACCTTTAAAAGTTACAAAATAAATACAAAGCAATACAAAGTGCTGAATGAACATGGCAACTTCCAGTGATAAGTATGTTTCACATTATTAATTAATTAATTGTTCCATCTGTTTTCTAGAAAACATTTTCACGAGCTATGTATGTATGTTAAAAATGAGATTATATGTGCAGAATTGAAAATTGCGAAGTGTGCGGCGCGAACAAAGCAAAATACACGTGTCCGAAGTGCGAGGTTAGAACTTGTTGTCTAGAATGTGTGCATATTCATAAAAGAGAATTGGAATGCAATGGTATTCGGGATAAAACTAAATACAAACCATTAAAATCATTTACTGATTTGGATGTTTTAAGTGGTAAATTACGCAAAGTACATAATCGTTCGTCTAAACTTTGGAAATGATAATAACCATCACTTTATAGATTATAGAATGTTGGAAGAAGTAGGCAGAACAGTTGAACACTTGAAAAGAGATCCATTTAGGAGATGTACGCGCCTAATTAGTTTACCAATGGTTTGTTGCAATGTTTCTTTACTTAGCTTTTCCGTTTATAATGTTAAAATCTTAATACTTTTAATGTTTGGATTAAAGCATCTGCACAAGCTACAGGCAGCTGCACTTAAGAGGAAAACTTCTTTGCAATTTATGCCACAACATTTTAGTAGACACAAAAACAATACAACTTTTTTGAATTGGAAAACTAATGAATTATATTGGAGAATTGAATGGATCTTTCCTCAGGCAGAGTGTACAAGGTGGATTACAGAGAGGTAAAATATTTCTTCATCTTAATACAAACAGTGGTATGTCACTTTTTCTAATAAGATTCTGACAACTGCAGGGCCTTGGAATCCCAAAGATTATCAACACTTATAGAAGAAATTTTAGATCCTGTTAAATCATTAGGTAATAAAAATGACATAGAAGAATTAAACCTTAGGCTGCGTCTAAGTGAAAAGCTACAGTTTTATCAAGCAGCTGACTTATCTGGAATTAAAGTTCTTTTGAAAGCAGAAAAAGTTGCCAAATCAGAATTGAGGTGCGTTTTATTATATATAATGTTTTTGTATGTTCTTTTCAATAACAATATCGTGTTTAGGTATTATGAATTGGATGTTACACTTACATTGAAAGAAAATTTGGAAAATAGGACTATAATAGAATTTCCAGTCATATATGTAATTTTAAAGGATCATTCTTACATGTATGATATTATAGATACTGGTATGTTTTCATATATTCTATCACGGTTTTCAAAATTAATATTGGCTTCGTGATATACGTATCAACAAATATTACAGATGACGAAGATGTAAATAACTCTGAGTCTAATGATATTAATGTGATAAGAAGAAAAAAACGACCATACAATGAAATGAAAACCAAGGGAGGAAAAGACTCGACTATAAATTATTTTTTCAATTCTGATCTTTCCGATTCAGAAGATGAAAAGCCAAATGTACGAAATAAAACTTTGTCTAACTTTAATATACCAGATTATGACGAACTAGTTAAAAGGGAACTTTAGATAGATTACTTTGTATGATAATTAAGAAATTTGTACATACATCAAACCAATAGTTTTTAGCGAGTCAAACAATAATACAAGTTCATTTTTTTTATTTAAATACAACGATTTTTATGACTTAATACATCTGAATGATATGGAAATAAAATAACATTAACAACATAAATAGAAGTAACGTTTTCATTCGTTCCTCTCCCAAGGGAAGTTAATATTTATATTTCAGAGAATGTTACATACAATCACAAGAATAAATATAGTAAAATTTATAAAACACTTCTCTTGCATAATAAAATACAATTTGAATTAGAATATGAAACCACCACTGCTTTCTACAGCTTCACTTAATCTTTAATGAACATAATCATATTGTCTTTTTATTTTAATATGTTAAAAGAATATTATAGTAAAGTTTCATTTACTCGAATCAAATGTAAATAATTGTTGCATTTATTGCATGATAATACATATGACAAGATGCATTGTATGGTATGAATATCGTTATCCTCCTTGTGACTAATTTTTCTCTGAGTACAACTTATGTACATTAATTCCAAATTCCTTGAAATTTAAATCCACCATACAGAGAACAATAACTTCACAGGAAAAACGTTTGCTAATCTTGAAAACCCAGAATGATTAAAAATACAAAGTAGTCTTTACATGATCATAACCGGTTTACCAAATTAATTGAACAACTAAAGGATGAAAAAGTATATCAGGAAGACCAAAACTGCAACAAGTCCAGCCACAACCTTTATATACATGGACTTGCTATTTAAATGTGTCGCATCCTTCTTATATTTTTGTGACAGCATGGATAAGTTTTGTGTCTTTGTATCTAATTCTGAAAAGAAGAAGAAAGAAATCTTTACTCTGTAACAGTGTTCATGAAACCAATTTCACTCAGATTTTGATGCATTACCTGAAAGCACTGTACCCCTTTGTAATACGTCGTCTATATTTTGAACCATGATTCTTTGTACATCTTGTAATTGGCTGTTGAGTGCATTCATGTTTCTTCTGGATCTACCATCCTGAAAAACTTTCTTTGCTTTCTCAATATACGTATCTAAGAAAAAGGAAACAATGTTTTTATATGTATTACATTTAATCAACAATCGTACAATAGTATACATACTGAATTCAATGAAACTGTAAGGCCTGGTAACTTTATTAACATGTTTGCCATACAATGAATGAAACTCTTGTGCTATGTCTTCAAGATAACTGTATGCAATCCTCTTACTATAGTTTTTTTCACATAATACCAGATAACATACTTCATTTTCAATTAAATAACTGTAAATCAGAGTTATTAATACTTTCCTAATATATAATTTATATATTTCTATCTTGATGATCACAAGGAATGCTTACTGGAATAAATACGGTCCTGTCTCTATGGTACATCTGGCTGGTGATTGAGGCCCCAATCTCCTGAACAACATTTTTGCTTGATTCTGGTATTCTAAAATATTTCTCCCACTCTGGAAATAAGAATTAATGCATTCAATAATGTACTTGTGAAGCATAGCTTTCGAATGAAAATAGACTAAAGAAAAATCTATAAAATGATTTTCAATTGAACAATTTTGGAGTGGATACCTATTTGCTTCGAACCAATGTAATTTCACGTCTATTACGCCAATACAGAAAATAATAAAAAAAACATTAACGAACGTGTCATAATCAACTTCAAAAGCGAATTGACATTTCATCATAACAGATTTCTAACCTGTTCGTCCTCCTGCATGGTAGCTGCTAATGGCAAACCATCTGCTATCCTCGCAATCATCGTCAACAACACCATTTTGATAGAGACTGGTCAATCCTCTCTTTGTAAATGTAAGAAATAAATATTCTAATCTTTCGTTAAACAAACGTCACCTCTACCACCTGCGATCCATCTACACCATTTACACTATTTTACGCGGACCTGGCCCTGGCCGTGTGACTGTGACTGTGACCTGTGATTGTGACTGATTCGTCAAACGTCCACTCTCGGCATACCACGTCACGTCAATTAAACCGCCGTGTGGAGTAGTGGAATATGATCAAATATGATTTCGAACAACTTTCATTAAATGCATCGCATAGCTATGATTTTCTATGTTATTAATTGAGTTTTCTATCATACTTTTTAATACTTTAAATACCGTAGGCTCGATACCTGTAATCTTCTGAGTCATTATAATAATTTATAATAATAAAGAACACTGTAATGGGAAAATATCAAAGCATCCGTTGCCAATAACATTTTAGATTCACGTTTATAAAACTCCGTATAAATCTCTAGTAACTGTTTATTAATAAATATGGAAAAGGTAAAAATTCGAATTTGGAAAAAAACTTTCGAAAGTTTTGAATCCAATGTTGTAAGATTTCCAATGTCCACGGTATATATCATCCCGCTTCCCGGCTATTCTATGTCATGTGCTACGTATATGGTTTTTAAGCGTAAAGTTCTTTAAAAATTATTGTATAAGTAACATATTGAATATTATAAAAATAAAACATGTTTTACCATGTAAGTATTTTGAAAATCGATAAACAGTAATCTAAATTCTTTTAGGTTACATAATTAAATTGTACATGAGTAACTCAACAACTCTTACTTATTCTCTTAGATATCATTGGAACATGAGATTTTATTACATCCTAGATATTTTGGCCCCCAGTTATTAGATACTGTAAAACAAAAGTTATACACAGAAGTAGAAGGCACTTGCACAGGAAAGTAAGTATTGTAATTGTAAGTGTTCTGATTATACGCTAATTTCAATAATAATTGCAGTATTATCTTTTAATATTTTAGATATGGCTTTGTAGTTGCTGTAACAACTATAGATAACATTGGTGCTGGTATTATACAACCAGGACAAGGTTTCGTAGTATATCCAGTTAAATATAAAGCTATTGTATTTAGACCATTTAAGGGAGAGGTTTTGGATGCTATTGTAACGCAAGTGAATAAGGTAAAAATATGTGAAACAAATTTGTACGTAGCTTTAAATGTGTGTAATAATCTATTATATTTTTCGTCAGGTTGGAATGTTTGCTGAAATAGGACCACTGTCGTGTTTCATATCTCATCATGTAATCTCTTCTTACATTAATTTTCACAACCTGTTTCATTAGATACTGAACTATTTTCTTTTTACAGTCAATTCCAGCAGACATGCAATTCTGTCCAAATATAAACCCACCATGCTATAAATCCAAAGAAGAGGTAATTAAAATCAATTATTTATAATAGTATAATTTTGATTTATTTTGATTTATAATTTGCATTAAATTGTAGGACGTAATTATACAACCGGATGATGAGATAAGGTTAAAAATCGTTGGAACAAGAGTCGATGCCACTGGAATTGTTAGTATTTGTAAGATTTCATCGTATCACTTCATATAATATATTACATTATACATAATACTTCGTATTTTTTTACAGTTTGCTATTGGAACATTGATGGACGACTACCTAGGTGCGTGTCTTTTATATTGTTTATTTACAACTCTATACTGTTCTAAAATATATATACTTGTTTCACAGGACTCGTGTGTAGCTGAATACATAAATGCATTATCTTTTACAATCTAACTCTTGTTCGTTCTAAGTAAAGTACCTTTTATATTTTTACGAAATAACCGTTTACGTATAAATAAATACATAAAACAAACATAATACTTCTACTTCAATTACATTTTATACAGATGGTTACATATTATCATCAACCATTGTTTTATTATGACATATATAGGATAAATGTTATAATCTGGTAATTATCCAAAATATATAAAGTTAATAATAAATTATTATCCACGAATAATCACATACCAGTCAGCAGTGCAGTGAATACTTGTATGGCTTTAATAAGATGAGGACAGTATAACGTACCGCTCTATGTCTAAATTAAATACATACTACATAAGTAGCAACATCTCTCTAGCACAAAGTATCTGTAGTCACACTTGCATAAAGTATAAATATTCCAGTTGCAATTTCAATTCCGGCTGCAGTTCTACAAATGCATTTAAATAATGTATCATATGAACGGTGCAGTTTCATTATTTATTAATCTTTGTTCATCAAGTGTAATAATTTAAAAAACTGTATTAAAGTTATTTTATTCGAAGCGATTGAAGATATTTTTTGGAACAGAATTTAACAAAGTAATGCATATCTATTAAACTCAACAACGCTGTGAATAATGCCAATTTCGGTTCGATCGGTGTTTTCACTTTCTCTTCTACGTCTTGATCAGGCATCATTTTATCCACAACATGTTTGAAAATTTTGCCGTCGTTATTGATATAAAACGTAGAAAAACCATCGTACCATCTGTCAATCAATTTTATTTGGTAGTATCGTATTGTATAAAAGGAAAAAATAAATGATAAACAAATTTACTCACGCCGACGTATCGTTTATCTGCTCTTTAACATTCCAGACTTTGAATTTCCAAAATGTAAGAAATACCCGTGTACCAGAAATGCCTACTATGCGCCAACGAACTTTAATACTACTGTCTTCAGGGTGCATAGTCATTTTTAAAATGTTTAATTTAATATAAGCGTACTTTAAATGACCTACTAGTTTTAATAACATTATTTGTTTCATATATGGAGTGAGACCGCTGTAAAATATTTTCTAAATGTTATATCTTGTTAATTAAGTAATTAATCGTAAATAACAGCACTTTTCCATACTTACGTACTTACTGTCCCTTTAATATTGTTCACAAATTGTAAATCCTGTGTATATATTCTATAATCCATTGGTTTAACGAACAGTAATGGTAACTATAAGAAAGAATGAATTAATACACATCAGATTTTACAATTTTAAGCAATTTGTTTGTATAAGAAATGGACGTACGTCTTCACGAAGAATATCAAATATACTTTGCAACTGTGCTTCGGATGGTTTACGATCTTCAGAAGGTTGCGTTTCATTTACGTTTTGTATGCTAGGAGAAACGTTTGAGTACAAAACGTTCTTCCTTTCTGAATTAGGTAATGCATGACAAAATATCCTTTTAGCTGGTTCTATATACAGGAAAGCAAGGTCCTTGTTCTGGAGATTTGTAATTGTTCTTTCCCAGTCTGCATTATTTTTCAATAGATTCTTACTACTCGAATCGGTATCGAGCATGTTCAATGTTTGAATATTTATTTGTCTCTGTTGATGTAATTTAGGTTTTTGATGTTTAATAGAATTATACTTTTTGCTCAGTGCCTTAGGTTTTTTAATACTAGTGCCGATAAAAACAACTGGTACATTTTGACATGATACAGGGACTATAGATTTTTCTTTCGAAGAGTTTTCTTTCAAATTTATTGGCAGATTTATCGATGTTTGTATACCTAGAAACTACAATTAAAAGACCCGTTGAAATTGTACTTTCATAAACAAACTAATAGAGAAACAACATGAGTAACAAGTAATATGAATGTGTACATATAGCAGAAAAAAATACTTCCAAAAAATAGGTAATATTATTGCTGATGAAATTTTAGTGATTACAATAAAACATCAGTTATATTGTAATAAAATTACTATTATATAAGTATGCTAAGGTTAACTTATTCTATCTAATGAACTATTAATCTTTAAAAGAGAAATTTTAAATGATGATGACAAAAAATATTTGGTAATATGCATACAGTGAAGGATCACCACAATAAATTGTCAACCACTTACTTCCTCCAAAAACAGAGACGATTTAACATGTTTTGGTAACTGATGATCGATATTAGTTACTTGTCTTCTTGTGTTAACAAAAGATGTAAATTTATTCGGAACAGAACGTAGATAAGATGACATTTTTCTATTTCTTTTTCTTCACTGATTCATACTCAGTATTCACTAATTATAAGAGTAATTCTAACATAAAACAGAATTGTCCATCGGCATCACCTTGGTCAGCCTCCGGCAAATTCACACACATGTTTCGATTGAATTTGCGCACTCAAGGAGAGATTGATAGAGTGGCAGCCTTATGGAACTTCGCGTCGCACGAAAAAGTCGGCAATTTTTGACGCCCTCTTCTGGGTAGCCTTACACATTGTTCAAATAAAAGGCAAATATAAATGTTAAAATTGTCTAAAAAATATACACGATTTCATATTAGATGTTTGCTTCAGATGTTTATGGAATGCTGATTTATTACATACATTATAGTGTATTAATTGTTATCGAAGATATAAATTAAAAAATGATTTGTTAGAAATCTTATATTACAGTTTATAACATGTATCATATAATGAATTGTAACAGAAGTTTTACATCGGATATCGCTTGCATTAAACTTATTTGCAAGACTTAATACGACATTTATGTGTGACAATTCAATATTAATTCAATATTAATTCAGGTTGTATGTGTCTTACCAGAAGACAACGTTAATAGTTTAAAATACAAAGTTGTTCAAGAAGTACGCTATATCGCCTCATAGGCAACGTCGACGTTAATTCTAGTCGCAGAACCATTAAGAAATTCCTCGAGTTCGTCGCGTTCCCTGTTTTCATCTCTCGAGCGATGCGATGAACGTTTCTTCTTTCTTCCCGCTTTATCCGTTCCGTCCTTCTCCTTTTCTTTATCCTTCGTCTTTTTCTTTTTCTTCTTTTCCTTCTCTTCCGTCTGAAACAATTTTATTCAAGGTAACATAATGGAAAATAATAAAAAATTATAAACACTGTATACCTTCTCCTTGTGCTTCTTCTTTTCTTTCAAAACTGGACTGCCACCATCCGAACTCATATGACGAACGCTGGTGCTGTCGAGTAGCTCTAAATGGACATTGGAACTTGTCACACTAACGTCCAAACTTTTATCACTCAACTCTAATCTATCTTTCCTGGTGCTGTTACTGCTTACGTCTTCGCCGCCCTCAGGGCTCTGTCTCCATTTCGAATCGCGCTGAAGCCACTGCAAGGTGTCGAACGAATCCGAACTAATCTCTTGTTGCTCGTTCGTGTCGTAATTGTTTGATATTTGTAATTCCTGATCTATAGACGAAATGGAATCACGTTTTTCTCGTAAGATTTCAGAGTTCGTTTCCGCATTCGTTAAAATCTCGCGTTTGTGTTTTTGTTTGCTTAATGGATTCTCAGCCAGTTTAGGCTGAATAGGAGGCGTTGCTTCATCGGCTGATGATAAGTCATCCTCGTAGCCGGCGACCAGAGGGTTTGCAGTCTCGGTATCGCTGTTCACAATATACAAATATCACAAATAAATTTTACAAGTCTTCTTTTAGTTATATATGTAGCTATAAGGTACCTTTCAGAATCAAACTCCTGATGCTGCATCTTTTGTGGTGAAACTTGGCTACCATCTTCCAAGAACGATCGATCTAATGGTCCGTCGTCCGGCACAAAATCTTCAACGCTGGTCAATGGTACGGAGTTCGTATTCGTGTTGTCAATATGCATTCCCCTGTCTACTTCGTCTTCCTTTTTGTTACCAAATATCTTTGACATGAACGACTGCGGTCTGCTGACAGAGTCACGTCTGTCGGAATTGTCAATCACATCCTTAGAATCTATTTTCGAAGCGTTTGGCATGGTTGTCGCAGCCGACGAATTTTTAGTAGGAACTGCTTGATTCTCAGAAGCGTTTATAAAGTTCTCCCTCTTTGGTAACAATTTCAAGTCCATACTTTTTACCGGAATCGGAATACCACCTCCGATAGGACCAGGCATGGATAACGATCTCTTAACTTCAGAATTTACATTTGCACCGCCACTGGAAGATGACATATTATGATTGCTCAAAGAAGGTGGAACATTGGAGACTAGAATGCTGGCAGAGACAGAATCAGCAATCGCTCGTCTTCTGTTAACAAGATTATCCAAAAATTTATTATAATTGGCATCGTCGCTGTCCTGGAAGAGATCGAGTTCTTGTACTGTCAAACGTGTCTCCTCTTCATTGGTATCGAGCTGCTTCAACAACGTTTCCCGTTGTAGTTGAAGGAAAGGAAGATTAAAAAATTTGTGCAACAATTTTAATCCAAATCCATTTCTCATCGACGATTCTGCATACCTTACCTACGGACAAAAGGGGAAATAGAATGGTTTCTAGCTATTCGCGATCGATGTTTGAGACGAACGTACTTGAGCCTTTCTTTCGTGTAACGAGTCGATAAAATATGTTACATGATCCGACGTTACTGTTCTATGATGTGACATGTCGCAATGATTCCCTAAGACAATGACTGGTATATGACTGGGAATTTTTGGAAGTTCTCTCTGTACATAGTCGAACGTCCAAGACTTTGTAATGTCCATCATAATGATAACACCATTGGTCCCTTTATACACATCTAGAAACTCTGCATCTAACGCAGGCTCATCGATAACGTTTTCGGGTTGTGAATTATCCATTTTCAAACCCTCTAACTTTTTTCTACGTCGACCTTTATCTACAACATCCCAAACTTCTACTTTAACAACATCGTCGGTAGCTTTATAATTCCATTGTATACTGGTTACTTGTATTTCCTCTGTTGGTATATATTCCTCTATAAATTTTTGGCCTTGTAGCCTATGAAATAGACAAGTTTTTCCCACATTTCTGTCACCTTTTATAATTATTTTCACTAAAAATGAAATTTATTTCATTCAAGACATTCTACTTATTCTCTTGTTATTTACACCAATTCTATGTACTCACTGTTATACTGTACACCTTTTGCAAATTTTCTTTGTAACATTGTTGGCATGGACTGATGAGCCGGTCTTGGAGATACATTGCCGACTCCATCAGATTTGCCAGCTAATCTTTTAAATGCAGATAACATTCTGTCCTCTTTTCTAACTGAACCAATAATAAATTAAAGGAGGACTGTTTCTTGCTAATTGTCTGATTAACATCTGCACACAATAAGTATAAGCATGAAATATATATGAAGAATAAAATTCTAGTTTAGAAGAAACATTCCTTACTAGAGTCTAAGTCTATACATGAATGCCTTGCAAAAGTTGTATTACAAATATATATGGAAAGAAGAATGTTATTTAAATGTTAATCCTATAAACTGATTAATCTATAAAAGAAATTCTTTACGGCAAAAAAGATTGACATTAATTGACATTTATATTATGATACTGTGATATTGCAGCCCCAATACAAAAATAAATAAACTTAAATACATTTGGAGTAAATATAAAAACGAAAACAGCTACACTTACCACATCTTACTCATAATTCTCCGTAGAAAATAAAAATTTATTCATAAACAGATAACGACAGATAACCATAATAAAACAAGCAGCTGTCATTTGCCAGCTGGATTACGTTTCTTATCGCGATGTTGGTAACAGGTTATTATATGCAATGCGACAATCAATTTATATTCATATTAAATATTGCAAAATGTTTAGAAATAATGCTGAAATTCGTTTGAATAGAAGCTTGATTCTTGATCTGGTTTATATGTTATCTTTTAATGACATATAAATGTCTTGCAGTAGTATAGTTAAGTTGGTATTAATGAAAGCGCTACTTCTGGCTCTGACTACTTCCTAAAATTCGGACTGTGATGATTCGTTATCAGGATAGGAATGAGAATGAGCTAAATTTTCTTATTTACTCAAATTGTTTATTGTAAATGACACAGTGTAATAAATACTATTATAAACTATCAAGAACATCAAGTTCCTTCCATAGTTGCTTGATATAATAATGGTTTTAAATTCTCTCGTATCAAAGTATGTTGGTCTCCATGAGTTATTGTTACTATTGAACTGGCTTTCTTCAACGTTTCAAGAGCCTGATTTGGCTTTTCCAGATATAACTGAATCTTTCCTATCATTATATACAGTATCCCAGTCAGTGGATGAATTTCTCCATAATATGTTCTGCAAAGCATACAATCTATTAATCCTTATCGATAATAATTTGAGACATTTGGAAGACATATTTCTTACAAGTAACCGTTGATAAGTCTTTTGCCATATGTTTCAGCTTCTTCCCAGTGCTGTAAACTCACGGAAGAATCAAAGGCAGTTTGTAGTGTTTGCACATGCTGGATATTAAGAGCATGTAAAACACCCGCTTGTTTCTTGAGACACATCTTACTCACATCTAGATCTACTTTCCTTTGTAAAGAAATTATGCGTTTTGTTTCATATCTAATTGTGAACAAGATCAATCCATGAGCAAAGGATACATGCCATATTCTTCATGTTTTGTAAATGATGTGCAGTAAAATCAGATACTTCGTTAAAGGATTCTTGGTAGTTTCCTGGAAATTTAGTATTGCAATTTTCACACACAACTGAATCAAGGGAGCAAGGATATGTACAAGATCCACTTGGACATGCTGCTGCTTCTTCCGTTGGTTCTGGTTTTTCACATCTTTCACAGTTACACCAAAAATAATATGAACTTCTCAGTTCTGCTCGCCTGTCGCTCGTTGTTTTAAGTGTATCAATATAAGATATCCTGATCTATACACATGTTCTTAGTTATAATCAATGCAACAATATTGTATAAAGGAGAAACATTAACAGACTTGCCTGAGACCAGTCTAAACAAGGTAGATCTTCTATTGTTCTTACAATTATAGTAGTTCCTTCAAAGGTAGCTACAGCGTTAGGCTTGCAGCTATGGTCCATGATAGAGGGTCCCAAGTAAATGCCAACACCGATACTATTCATGTCTAAGTCAAATATATTGAAAGAGTTAATACAAATTCTGCCATAAATTCCAATCAGTTCTGCAGAGTTTGGCATGAGCGTGTCTCCAAGAAATTCGAACAAAACGCCACATAGACACACAAAGTGTTCCATTTTCTTTTCATCTTTTTTGATATCAGTATAATCTGTAGGGATATCAATTGTTTTGCACATAAATAGAATGGAGAAGCGTGTAAATAATATTCTTTTATATATATCGTCAGACAGTTTGACGAAACTTACGAGACATCAAGTCCTTAAATTTTCTACAACCTGTGTCACTGTAATATCCTACTTCATCGCTTCCACCTTGATTTAATTTTATAATTATACGTGCCATGAGTCGTGCCACGTCTGGCACAACTTTTGGCGAGATCCTCTTTAAATTTGCACATTCCTTGCTGTGTGTACGCCAAGAACTTTGTTGGCAATTTCGGTTGCAGTAATAAACGTATTGACAGGCAGAGCATTTAGAGAGCTTTCCACTGAAAGAAATCTGATTCTATGACTGCATCAGTTATTAATAAATAAAATGTATACTTCTTAAATAAACAACATAGATTGCTATTAACCGTTAAAACAGTAACTGTTCCCTGGTATGGAAGACATAAAAACGTTACGAGGACTAAATTATTTATTTAATTTCGAAAACGTATTAAAAATAAACCTTTTCAAACAATAATCGCACCGATCGGTCCTGTATTTCGAACTGAGAATATAAGCAAATGGTTTCGCGGTAAAAATGGTAGTGCCTCTCTTCATCACGTTTCCACTTTTATTCATCTTTAAACGAGCTTTGCCTTATTAGTATCAATAATTTTTAAACAATTACAGTTGTAATTTAAAATAGCATAAACGCAGATATGTATATGAAATTATCAGCAGTCTTACAATCTAACGTACGTGTAACCTAATATTAGAAGAATTGGTAACTGCAACTGCGGTATCGATTAAATATAGTTCATTAACAATCTCCATTTAATTAAAAAAAGAAAATATTATAAAAATGTATGGACAAATAATTCCATGCGTAGGATATGGTTAAAAAAGGAACGTTGTAAAAGAAGGTATATGTATACGTGTGTGTATGTAGTGTACTATGCACAAGTGTGCGTGTCTTACTTTCATTTAAACATAATTTTATTACCTTTCTAAGCAATGGTCACATCTCTCGTTGCGATATAGAGATCGTAAAACGTATGCAAATGGTTTAGCAGTTAAAATAGTTTTTCCCTTGGGAACGGATAATCGCTTGTATCCATTTTGAATCCTCATTTTTATTGT